GGGTTTATTTCCCTACTTTCACTTCTTTTCATGTGGGATAAAACTGCACACCAAGACAATTATTTGGATCCTTAAGCCAAACCCCGAAATAAGAATCTCTATGAAACTCATTACTTTGAGCTGATTAAAATAGTTTTCAAGAATTTTGTGAACTGTTTTTTCATGATAACAAAACAAAGATAATATTGACAGCATTCGCATGCCCGTTAAACAGATACGCCAGGAACACTGATTAGCCTTCTATTTCGAAAGGAGTTGGTATTTGTTTTAAGTTGTCTTAGTAATTTTCTTGATTTCATTGTTACTTGAAAATAGAGAAAACTTAACCATTTTACACAAAGGACTTTTTTCTGGATCTGTTGTGTACAGGCTACACGCAACGTTATAGTTCCTCTAAGATATTTATTTGTAAAAGAAATATCATATAACTCCAGTTTACTTAACACGTGGCAGACTTTTTCTATATTGATGACTTTCTCTTCCCCTATGTCCGTAAGAGCTTCAAGTTTCACAATTTCTATAAGGAAATGTATTTGCCATGTTCTTAAGTTTATATTGAATTCCCTTGTCATTTCGGTCATATCGGCAACGCATTCAACTCGCACAATACATCATTCATTGCAGCACCCACACTACAGGCCATTTGCTGCTGCAAATACACAATTGTAACCAATAGATTTATATACGTTGATTTTGAATTGAACTAAACATGGTGGTACATATTCAAACAAAGATGATTATAAATATCATTAAAAAAAATGGCATGTAGTTTTTTCTTGGTCTGGTTGAATGCACCATTTGAATTAAAAACGTTTTAGAGAATTCTACGTTTTATATTCTCACAGTCAAACTTTGGTTTGTGCATATTGTGTTTGCTTGTATATATGAAGTCCAATATATCTGTCATGACAGTTTGATAAGGGTATATCAGATGCATATGCACCACAGCCAAATGTACGCGATATCGTGACAGATTTTGATTAAAACAGCACATAACCTTGCAGGAAGAGGACAGTTAGAAATACCTTCATGTCATTTAGCCTAGTTCACTCAGTTGCACTCCAATTGAGGGTGTTCCGAAATACCTGCCGGCGACATTCAAGTCGCCTTGACGAACTAATCCAAAAACAAAACAAAAAAAAACTCTTGACACCAGGTCATGCTACTTCTCACTACTGCTGCTCATGAAGAGAGATATACAGAATGCGCCAGTCCCTAAGGGACAGACCCCAGCTGGTTATGATCAGGCAACTGATAAGCAAATTTGTGATACTGAACGGAATATTTACTGTAGCTCATCGCCAAATTAAAAACGTATACATATTAACACCTCCAAACAATTAATATAAGAAGCTATGGGAGTAACATCAGGAAATTTGTTGTTGTTGTTGTTGTTGTTGTTCTTCTTCTTCTTCTTCTTCTTCTTATTATTATTATTATTATTATTATTATTATTATTATTATGTTTTACCTTTGCTTTGTGCCGCACGAATTGCTCCAAACTATCAACTAGAGACTTCCAGTGACGACAATTTTTTTTATATATCAGCAGATGCAAACAGATGAGGTACCTTGCAATCAGAGAGAAAAGAATGTAATTGTGGTCACTGTATCGAGAGAAATCGGTGTAAGATGTGAGAAGTAATTATGAGAATGATTCATGGTAATTTACATATTTTAGAACTTCCAGGAATTTGATCCACATATTTCTTTGTTTATTTTGATACCAGGTTATTTGCTCCCTGGAGATGCCACATTCTACTGATTTCTATCTCGATGTCCTTGCATTTACATAATTTATCAAAAGTTTTCAAAGGTGTGTTTTTTGGGGGGCTGCGACTGCAAAGACAGGTATCATTATTATTATTACCATCATCATTATATTCCAATTTCTGCTATAGTCAAACTACTTACCAAGTCTACAGGAAAATCTAAGACAGATAGTGGTGTGTTGTTGTGGCTACACTTCATGATTTGTTTTTCTAACTACCATAACATCACTAGTGTTACATGGATAAAATTCTTTTTAGTGTGTGGGCTGTATTTATCAAAACATTTGTATTTCTCTTAAGCTGGGATTTCCAGGGATTTTTTTCAATGTGTTGTAGTGTTTTTATCATTCCAAGCGCACCTACAATTACTGGTACTATTCTTGTTTTCAATTTCCACATTTTTTTCTAATTCGATTTCCAGGTTTTTATACTTCGATAGTTTTTCAAAATGCTTGATTGCTATGTTACAGTCCGCTGGATAAGCCATATCAATTAGTAGGCAAGTTTTTTCTTTTCTGTTTTTGAAAATTACGTCTATCCTATTTGCTTCAATCTTTATGTCTGTAAAGATGGTGTAATCCCATAGAATTGTGATGTCTTCTGTTTCTGTAACCGGTGCTGGGTGATATTCATACCAGTGTTTATTATCATCTTTTCCAAAGTGTTTGCACTTTGTCCAGTGTAAATAATGCCCTACTCTATCGTGACGATTTTTATATTCATTTGACGCAAGTACAGAACATCATGGGATTAGATGGTCTATGGTTTCCTGATATTTGTCACGGAACCTGCATTTTGCATCCATACTATTGCATATGGTATTTACCTGAAAGTTTCTAATAAAAAGACTCCGGTCTTGTGCTACAAAGTTTTCCGTTTCAGCCTTTAATCCAGATGCTCGTAATCCTCGATGAGTGTAAACTTTATCAACATCGGCTTTATTAGCCTCGTTCTAGATATTGGCCATGCAGAGGCTTGACTTGCCAACGTTGTTTCATCTGTTGAAGAGCTTTATGCTTGGCTTTTCATAATTTTTGCTGCAACAGTGGGTTCTTGGGTTCTGTTTTGGTTTTCTACATAATCTACTAAATATAAATCTCGTTTGTATTTACAACCTTCTTTCATGACTGAATATTTTTCATTCTGCTTTTTGTTTGACTAATTTTATCACCTAGTCCTTTGTTATTTCTATGTATGTTAGTAAGCCAATAGTTGTTGTCTTGTATGGCAATTCTAGCTGAATGAAACCGCTTCCACCTTTTTTTACTGGGTATGTATAGATGGTCTGCATCAGCCTTTTGGATGATGCATGTTATGCTTAGAAAGACTCTTGTCTTAGAATCCTTTCGTCTGATATCATTCAGATTCCAGCTCAAGATATTCAAACTATATTGAACCACTGGGATGACAATTCTACTAATGGCCATAATTCTATTCTGAGAATTCAATTCAGTTCTTAATATCAGTCGCACCATTCTATAGTACTCTTTTCACATTATTTCTTTCATTTTTATGGTCAATTCTTTCACCCTCATTTACACGGAGGTACTTATAAGATTCTTGCTCTAAATTGTTGATTGTTACTCCAGGGTCTAAGCTAATAGAGGAGGTTTGTTGTAGTGATCCTCTTAAAATTTAGCACATTTATCCAAACCAAATTCCATTTCAACTTGTTAAAAATCTAATCTAGGTTGAATCCTAGACTAAATGACAACATTCAGCATTTTGGATTTTATCTGAACTCGAAACCAACAACTGATATCAAAGATACATTTGCTTTCACATGCGCCTGACAGACGAATATGATTATTCGTACAGAACAAAATCGATATAAAGATAGGGAAGTGAAAAGAGCGATTGATATGTGCGGAATATTATAGGAGTAGGCTGAGATAGATAGATAGATAGATAGATAGATAGATAGATAGATAGATAGATAGATATGATCTGGTTTTAGATAGATATGAACAGACTGAGATAGATTGATTGATTGACATGAACTGACTTAGATAGATCGATAGTTAGATATGATTTGGTTTTAGATAGATAAATAGATATGAACAGACTGAGATAGATAGATAGATAGATAGATAGATAGATAGATATGAACAGACATAGCTACCTAGATAGACATGAACAGACTGAGATACGATGATAGATAAATAGAGGAACAACCCAAGATGGATAGATAGATTGATAGAGAAAAACCTATGTATGATTTTTGATAAAAAACAGATATCGATAAGAACATGAAACAGATATGAACAAACTGAGATAGATTTAAACAGGTTAGAATAGGTTGATAGTTTGTTCATATATCAGTCCATCGATACTGTGATCTCTCTTTGTCTCAATCGTTTCCTAAGTCATTTCATATCTGGGATAGATAGATAGATAGATAGATAGATAGATAGATAGATAGATAGATATAACGAGAGAGAATTCGATATGAACGGAGTGAAATGGTCACGAACAGACTTTAACAAAAGTAGATGAGTAGACAAAAAAACGAGAATTAGATTAGCAAAGTCGCTGTCCTTTTACAAGTAAGTGTCGCCTTTAAATGCTTATGAGAAACATTATTTTGCATTTCTTTTTTTTCTGTTGAATCACTTGTTCAGATTCCTTGCACAAGTGTTGCAGCGTATATGAGAGCCTCACATTTTGTGCTGGTCGCTAATTTTGCAACTCAAATATAACTGATTGGCTTTTCTAATAATAACATTTCGATTGCACTTCTCTGCTAGAGAAGTTATTTCTTCCGCCTCAAATATGGTAGAACTTATCTTTCTTGTTCCAACAAGATACAAGGCATGAAAGGCTAAAGGCGAGCTAGTTGAAATATTCTTTTTACTTAAAATAAAACTAATCACCTGTGCGGGCAGTTAAGGAGCGACAGCAGTTAAGGAGCGGCTTCGATGCGTTGTGGGTGACTTATTAGATTCTGGGTTGATTGACTGATTAATTTGTTTTTTACGGCTTATCAGTCTTTTGCGGGTTATTTAAAGTCAGAAAATATTTTTAGATCGTAAGAATTTTTTGGAGATAATTATGATTTACAGATACAAGTCCTACTAACTAACCGTTAGCTGCTAGAAGAGGTGGATACTTACCTTTCCCAAGGGTATTTGTGCGTAACTGAATATAACGAACCCGACAAGAATTAGAACTGGGCTCTCCGATTTCCAATTCTGAGCCGTTATCCATTACACCAACCGCACATCTAAGCTTACAGCATCAGTTTTTCCCAAGTAGTCATTCATTTAGTTACTAACCAGGCTCGATGTTGCTTAACTTCGGTGATCGTATGAGGACTAGTGTTTCGATGTGATATGGCCGTAAGCCGATTCGGTTCTGAGATTATATTTTATATATAGCAAGCAGGCGTAGTTGTAGACATCAGGTTTCAAAATGGCCCATACAGAGTATAAGGCTGATATAGGAAAATGTGTATGGATTTTTATCTTAAATGTATTCGTATAATTTCGAGCGAGGTAGCCGTGACTTTGTGAGATCATGCATTTATGATAGCCCCAGTCATTGTGTTTCTAAATGATTAAATTGTTTAAAATAAAAACAACTTAGGTTAATACGAACAATAAAAAACTAAAAAGAAGAGTTAAATCAGTATTACCTTGAAAACAAAAGGGAATTAACACTTTTAAAAATCTTTTCCGTATTCACGAACCCTAAATTAGTCTAGTTTGACTTCATTTGTTTTAAGGGCATTGTTGCTAGTGACATGTTCTGGGGTGGGGAGTTATTGTTTACATTATTTACAATCGGATTAATGTCCTTGTCTTTGCTGTTATTGCAGAAGATACAAAGACAATGACTGAATCGTTATGGCAATAGCAACAAAGATGCGGAAATTAGTCTGATTGTACAGGGTGCGATGGGTAAATTGTCGCCATTTTATATTTTTAATTTCGTGCATGCGCGTTGTTTGTTTTTGACTTTTTCGACTGCACAGTAGAGTAGGGTCAGTCGGGCATCGTCTGTGAGAAAAAAGAGCACCGTGACGCAAGTCACTCCGCTAGCAATTTGAAAACGGCATGGTGTGCTGCTTATCATTCGTGACGGAAGCTATAATACAAAAAGTGTTTGAGTGTTAATCTGAGGATAGTGAGGAGGGTTCCGAAAGAGTTGGATGAGTTTTATGGTGATTACTGTGTTTGGTTTAATCACTAGTGATGACGATGTTATGCCTCCATTCATTTTCCCACAAGGCCTTAGACTAAATACAGAGGCCTACATCAAGTATCTTGAGGAGGTTAATGCTGCCCTGGGTTAAGAGGGTAGTTGTTGGAAGACCCAATATCTGGCAACAGGTCTCTGCACTATGCACACAAGCAGGAGAACCCAGTCATGGCTGTCAGACAATTTATGTGACCATATCACCCCATACATTTGGTCATCTAACTCCACAGACTGTAACACCCACAACTGATTACTATGTGTGAGGCGCAGTTGAGTAAAAGACAAACAAAACTCCTTGTAACACCAAAGATGAACTGAAGACAAGGATTATGGCAGCATTCACCAAATTAAACAAGGAAAAACTGCTCAGAAGAGTTGCAAGAAATTCCGAAGTCGTCTGGAGACCGTGGTTGAAGCTAGTGGCTATTTTATTTAATAAATTTACTGTTTAGTATTTTAAGATATTTAATGTGTAATTTTGGTAAATATATGTTAAAATGAGGTGTCGTTGTTATTTTCATTTTTGCGTAATTTAGACGACAATTTATCCATCGCATCCTGTATATAACGTGAATGAAAGAATGAATTTATTTGCTTCACCTTGTTTTTTGCTTGCTTAGTAATGCAAAGGATTCTTGTTTGAGTGTACTTTTTTCTGCTTAATACTTTGATAATGTAATAACTGATACTTGTTTGAACATTTCTCTCTTCCTCCTGAAATCTTGTTAATTTGAAGCAACGTTTTTTGTATGTTTCAGTGTAGCGAGAAAGTTTATGTGGCAGTTGCAAGATACCTGAACAGTGGCTGTAAACCGAATCTCATCGAAAAAGCAAAAATAATTTCCATTTCACATGATGTATCCTTTGGGTTTCGCTGACAAGTGAAAGTTTTACCTGACATATATATTTATCATTTATCTGACTTCATCGAAAGAAGGAACAAAGTTAGATACAGGCTCAGAGCACAGAGCGCTTCTCTCAGTTTCGAAAATCAAAGTTAGGTTATAGCATGACATAATCACCATCAACTAAATAATTTTGCTATTATTCTATATTCATAATAATCATAATAATTTTTCTATTATTCTATATTCATAATCACATCAACTAAATAATTTTGCTATTATTCTATTTTTTCTTCATAGAAACTATTTACCTACAAATAGAACAAAATCATCCAATGTTGGCACTGGATGTTTGTCATAGAAGTTATTTATTTATATTCTAAATTAGATGTTTTCAACCTTTTTTCTTCCAGTGTTCCCGTTTGTCCTGTTGTGAACATAAACCTTAGCCTAACTGTCGTTCACCGACGAGACAAATCACCCCATGTTGCATTTCGATTCTCGTTTACGTCGATTTGCACAAAAATTTTGAAACCTACTTGACGTTAATAAGGAAGCGAAAGGGTAAATATGGCCACGGCGAATCTGGAGCTAGGTAGGTGACACTTGGGAAAATTTCCCTAGTACTTCTTTCAAGGCAGACTAACGGACCAGATCTCCGATTTGGCCAGCAAGAATTCCAGCTTTCTCCTACCACCCCAGTCTATATCTGCATTACTACACAGGACTTGTAACTCGCGAACAGGAGGTTTGAAACTGAAAATTCTAAATGTAACTCTACTTCCAAGTGGAACGTTCTAACTTCCGGCGAAATGGCACTTGTCCCCGAAAGTTTTCATTTATTTATTTATGACACTTTTCTTATGATAGTGGTTGGCTGTTTTGAAAATCTTACTTTTAGGCTTTATTGCTGGTCATAAAACACCAGATAATTCAGACTCAGCTAAAAATATCTAGAGTACACTTGACTTCCCGTGTGTCCTAAGTCAATCATATGGCGGCACATTATGTCACACTATTCAGCTGTGTTAGCGTGCATATTATGAAGAATGTAGTGTAAAACGAATTGATATCATAGAATCAGGAAATGGATATGTAGTATTTATTTGTAATGTAATATTTTTAATGAAATGAATGCAATTGAATTTTTCCAACAAGTAACACAATTCTGGAGAAAACAATTAGGATGCGAAAATCGCATAACGGTTACTGGCGCATAAAATGGAATTCGCAAACTCAATTTCAATTATGACCGAGGCTGTTGTAGTCACTTTGTACTAATGTCTTTGGTTAAGTCATGGATCCAACTCCCCACCCACTAATGTTATGAGTAAAATAGTAGGGCATACCTGGCTCTTTGGCAGGACAGTCGAGAAATATAAAATTAAATTTAAAGTCGAGAACCTTTTCCATTATGTGTCCCCATATGATTTACTCAGCAGCAATCATGGTGATTCACAAATTAACAGATATTAAAGAGGATGTTGTGAAGAACCATGTTCGTCTATGTCTTGAAGAGATATGGTTAAAAAAGACACAATTCTAGTAACAGTTTCATGGAGATGCACGCATATATCATTCTCATCTGATTGGTTTGTACAAAATTTGTTTTTGGTTGTAGACATTGCTGATTAAAACAAACCTAGGTTATTGGAATGGAAAGAAGCGAACGAGTTTGCTTTTATGGAGTGTCACCTATTAACGCAATGATGCTGTTTGCAAGACAACCAAGATGCATTTAGCTGGTTTGGATCATTCAAATTTTTTTTTTACATACCTTGCACTCATATTTTATTGGTTTGAAAATTCTTGTTCTAAATCATGAAGATTTCTGACTTTTGAGCAGATGGCATCCGAATTACAAACGCTATGAGAACATACATATTACAAATGCATATCGTTTTTCAATTGAGGAGATTTATTGTATTTTGGCTTGTCCTTAGTCTGGACAGAACGGCTGGATTAGATTAATTACGTCAGATCGTTATTTCTAATTAGCTGCATTGACTAGCATACGTTTACATTCATGAGAAGAAAATTACGTTATATAAACATTCGCTTCAACTTCTAGGGTTTGGACAGTGATTGATTATTTGGAGACAGAAGAGCAGCGTTATTAATCTAAATTCGTTTCTCATTTTGGCAAAAATTATATAGAACCGAAGTTTTCAAGTGTTAATCAAGAGGCGTAACTTATAACACCATAAATTCCCGCAAATTTCCTTTATCAGAGCTTAAATGGCGTGTTCAGGTTTTTTCTGAGAAATGGCTTTTTGATAGAATTCTTCTTGAATCAACATTATCAAAAGTTGTTAACGTCAGTATTCTGAAATGATTTGAATACAAATTTGATATCTGCGACTTGAATAAAAATTATATTTATTGCACATTTCTTTATAATATTTGCTATAACCGACATTATGTTGACGTTGCTTTATTAGGAGAGAAATGACAATTATTAAATGGTTTTGATTATTATCTTTAGCATAGGCGAAAGGGAGGAAGCCTAAAAACATTCATTTGAAAAGTATATTGAAAAAAAAGCACAAAATCTTTTAGGAGAATGTATTGCAATACATCACATTTTTTTAAAGGTTGCCTTAACTGTACCAATGTAGATCCCTCAACGTTTGTTTAAAGTTGTACACGTGTCCGCTCTGGATATACAGGCTCAGAACCTACATAGCTACCAGCCAACGGAAAGTGTCGAGAAGTTAATTGTCGACATGGTGGGCCAGATACTGAAATTGGGCTCTCAGATAGTCAGACTGCCAAAGGTGAGTAAATACATTTACTTATTGTTGTAGATTTCTTTAAAATGTCATATCCAAACGCGTCTTCCTTGATTTGCGTGATAATCTTTCGAAAGATGGAGATGTCAATGTCTTGCTATTTATACTCGAAGTCAAAAACTGCTGATCCATACGATCTACACAATAAGATTATAGACAAAAACTGTGTAACATATATTATACAATTAATCAACGTGTTCATTGGCTTTATCTCATTTGATCGACTCCAGAGTTTGGTGTAATATTGCTCATCAATATCAATGACGTGACGAACTCTGGGGTCGGTTAAATTAGATACCTTCATTGAACAATTATTGATTTATTTAATATTGTCACTCTAGTTATCTACTGAATATTTTGATAGACAGATACGTAAAATTTGGGGCAAACATTCTGCTGGCCTAAAAATGCGTTAAATTCTAGTAATTTTACATATTTTGATAGGTGTTAATGATTTGTATATATATATATATATATATATATATATATATATATATATATATATATATATATATATATACAGAAATTTTCCCTAATTTTCATTGTCCCAAGCGACGACTTCTTTAGCCATTTTCAAGAAGGTTTTGTTTTTGGTGTTTTTAGTTTTTCCTCATGTTTTGACTGTTTAAGTTGTATTTTAGAAGCGTTTATTCCGAGCCTTCGAATGTTCTTTTTTTTTATAATTTAACATTCTGTATGTAAATTTACTTATATTTATTTCTTTTGTACAAATATCTCATTAAGCATAGAGTGGGGCTTTCCCTGGTCCAAATCTACATAAATGAAACGGTAACATGAAACCTTATCACTTTCCGGTTGCCAGATCTCCTGTATCCACAATAGAAACACTGGCTTGTATCATGTGTTCTTCACTAGCCATCAGAGTAGAAGTGGAATCCTCTTCTAAATTTTCATCTGTGAATTAAAACCATAATGATGATAAGGCCAAATCAACTTCTTCCTGTTCACTGTCCTGTCACAAGATGTCTTGACAAACTTGTCCCACCGCTGACATAGTTAACGGAGAAATGTGTGCACAAACCAGTCTCCCACCGACAGGAGCCAGTCATAAGATCGATAGCAAGGACATATCTCATACAGCGCTTGTTGGTTAGGTAACTATGCTGACTATTCGCTTTTAGTGACTTCTATTCTAGCTTGGTGATCCATAATTCTCGCCTCCTACCTGTTTAAACGGTGTCTGTCGTGATATAATGATTGACATGGTGACTTTTCACTTTTGACTGTTTTGACTAAATGCATATGGAATTGTGAAGCAATTAAGTAGTCTTGTGGAGCATTAATGTTATCGTGAATTAGATTCTCACTAGGTGACTCACACGTGTGGTTTTGTAACAGACTAAGCTAAGCTTAGTAAAACCGATATGTAGTACCTGGCGTAGAGTGATGTTTTCCAAGCTAATCAGAAACATTCAAAGTAGCAGTTCTTAGAAAAAGAAAGTAAGAATAGAACTTTCTTGTTACATTTGGAGTACTGATGAAATGAGGGTTATAAAGGTTTGAATTGGTGGAACTAAAGAATGGAGCTCATCTGAACATTTGCCATGGAAATCATGACAAATGTGGCATACATAGATCTTGCCACCCATTTGCATCCCTTTATGCTGGCAATGTTACGCAGTGGTGACAGTTTGGCCCAGCAAAATAACGCATTACTCCATTGTTCACAGATGACACTCCTTTGAATTTCTCGTATTCAATTAACACCTACGTATGCGAAACTTAAACCTTATTAAACATGTATGCCGAAAGCCTCCCATAATTCCATTCAACCAAGCACAACTCAGGTGTTGACAACCCTGCAATGTACCTTGATATACTCACACATCAACTTTATCATCTCGTAAATTCTATAGCACGTCGAATAACCGCTGTTATTTAAGCGAAGAGTGATGCTACACCTTATTAATTTTGGGGAACTTCAGTATATTAGCGAGGTATTTGTTGAGGATGAAATTTGTATTTTTAGTTTGCGTAGCGAAATTAAATAAAAACGTTTCGAAACTTCCACTTCCACAGAAACAAAAGCCATTGATAATATGGCCTTAGACACTGAATAGCTCAATTCTAGGACTTTATAAAAAAGGTTTTTACATATCTTGAAATATTTGATACATAACATATCAAATCATTGGATATCTTGAAAAGAGACGATTTCCCTGAATGAAAGGGAATCTATATTAAGGACAATCTTAATTACGGTTCTTATGAACCGACTTTCATTAAATATACAGTTCGTCACTTGATGTCTTGGATGGGAAGTATTTCTTTTTTGCCCGAATCTCCTTTTGAAGAATTTTTCTGGTTTTGCCGCAGAAATGGATGCTGCTGCTTTTAATCTTCCGTCTTGATAAATTTTGGCTGGCTAGCAGAAAAAAAAACAAACTATGTACAAATATTCTCTTACCATAATTTGGCATCATGGGCACTTCCACAAGAGTTTAAAGGAAAGGGCAATGTATGAACATTCTCTTGTTATAATTTCGCATCATGGACTCCACCTCAAGAGATAAAAGAAAAAACGAATTTAATTTTCACGCGACAAAATATATATACAACCATCAAGCTCAAAAGCGGCGGAGCCAACTTCATAAACAAATGAGTTTACTTTTCGTGACGCATGTTGAGTGCGCAACATTTGTTTATTTTTCTCTCTCCTTTTCTTCCTTCTTTCCTTCATAAAAAATAGAAAGAAAGCAGACGTTACCTTTTTTACACAGAAATCGTCTGTTTTCACAATTGACTACCGATCAACTTTCGATCAATTTTCTCAAAGGTAACTATACTATATAGCCCAATATCTATAAAAAAACAAATCTACATCATTTTTAGTTAATATTCATACTTTTTGTTATGAAAATTTAAGAAATAATAAAGTCGATTTGCAATAATATATATATTTTTCATTGATTTTTCATGAAAATTGACAAAAATCGACATAACTTTCACATTTCAGCCAGAAATTGTTAAATGTTTGGAAAATCTTCACAGAGATCATCCCGACCTGCTCCCTCAACAAGGTAAGTCAGAAAATCTAGAATTGCAAATGCTGATTTTGCTGTTCACTTTTCAGTTTCAAAGCTTTGTCATTCATTCCATTGGTTATTGTGAATGTGATCTCCCTCTTTTCGCTAGTCGAGCTGTTAAAGTTTAGGCGTTTCCAAGTTTAGGCATCAAATGTAGAATTTGCATAAATATAGTGGATTTATTTTTCTTTCAGCACTCTTTGCCAGTAGTGTGAAAACAAGTTATGTTGTCTAATGGATTCGCCAAAGAAAATCCCCAAGGGTAGCTTTCCTCTTTTCTTGTAGGCTTTCGTGTATTTAGTGGGGCCTAGAAGGAAGTCATATGCTTTTCTACACCGATTGCAGTGGAAGATGAAACCCTGATCTTGCGAATAGTGCAACCCATTATGACAAACTTTACAGTGACATGGGCGATTACACATTTATAGGTGGGGATTATACCCTAGTTCTTTTTAAGCAAAAAAGAACCCTAAAACGAGACAACTACTTATATAGTACGAAATGTTGTCATAACGACAAGTATCAGATCCGCATTTTGAATAATACTTGGAATGATAATGTCTCATTTCAAAATAATTTAATGTTTATCTTCTAAGGGAGCATTGGTTTTGCGTTCTTAATGCGTTGTTAAGATATTTTGGTCAGCTTTTAAAGTTAGTCATTTTATACAGGTAAATTTGTGGATCTAAAAAGAAAATGTGAGAGATCATCTTCATGCTGTCCTCATTAATAAATGATAAATAGATAAATAAACATGTTTCGGCCGTTGTTTCTTCTGGCCTTTCTTGAATCGTGAAATGTAAGCGTGATAACAAATATCTGTCAACAATATGAATATTTAAGATTTACGAATTTTGCAAAGTTAGTAAAAAACGACAGAAAATATCTTTTGAAAGTTATTAATGATATAGTGAGTATGATTTATACAAAGGAAAATATATTTGCTTAATTAGAGAGTTGCTGGAGTCAAAATTTTTGTTGCGAAGTGGGAATGTTTTTTAGTTAATATTTAATGGATTTTGGTGCATTTGTCCTGCAAACAATCAAAATTTTGCGAACGTACAGGAGTCCGGTAAAAATAAAATAAACAGGGACTTTTAAACAAATAATTAATGCATATATTAACAAAAAGAAATTATATTAACGTTTACACAGTTGAAAGAAAAGGAAAAAAACATTAAAAACTTAGCTATTCATAATACCTAAATTTTTAAGATATTTTCTTTACTTTCCTTTACTTTTTCAAGAATGTGCTTGCTTGTATGTGCGTTTGTGTGAGAGTTCAGTTGTCAGTGGATCGGGAAAAATGTTCCACAGCAGGAACGTCTTTATCTACGTACTGATACATCTTGAAGCAAGAGTAAGAAAGTGGAAGAGGAATGAAATATTTGTCTATTTATAGACTTGAACAGCGCCGCTTAATGGATGTTTGGTAACCCACCAGCGATTTATTTTCTATGTAGATTTTTCAGCTGTTTGACTCCGTGTATATGGTTTGTTTTGATTAATTTACTCGTGTCTATTGTTTGTTTGTCGAATGTTTCGTTCGCACATCCAGCACCCGTCGACGTATTTCTATCGTGTTTTGGAATATTGACAAAGCTTCTTTGAGGGAGCATACGCATCTTCTCTCATATATGTCACATCCGATGTTTGTGTCCGTGTGTTCTTGGGATTGATACTTGCTGGTCTCAGCACTGAACCCATTACTTCACTTTGGACTTTGCAAGTGCTTTTATCTTTCTGTTGATGCCGATGGAGCCCCAAGTTCATTTGTTCTTTCTGGATTAATTAAAGTTCTTTGGCAGATCACTAGTTTCGCTTAAAGGTCAGGTGGGAACAATTCCAAGAACACACAGACGCAATTACCGGGTCTGATTTATATGAGAGAGAAGATGAACACGCTCTCTAAGAAAAAATATTCGACAGTCCAGAATACAACAGGCACCTAAGGAAGGCAGGAGAGTATACGGCCAAATCGTTGTGAAAAAAAGGACAAAGTAATTTGTCAGAAGCAACCATATATTACGATTAAAATATCTCATCTAGCAAAATTCATACAAGAAGTAACAGTTAAACGTTTGCAAACAAATAAACCAAGCAAAACCACAGAGCCTTCAAGTTTGAGGATATCGACTGTTGTTTGATCTGGAGAGAGATAGGTTTCACTAGTTTTACTTACACAGGACACGCTACGCATGAATGAATACCTCTCCATCTTTCAACCCAGGTATGTGGAAGGAACTGGTCAGGTGTGCAGCTGAGATAACATCTGCTGTCCTCAGAACAATGTTCATGGGATTTTCATTAAATTGAAAATTATGAAGTTTTCATTTTTCTTAAAAGCTTTTTCAGAATATATGCTTCAGAAACTAAGCAAAATACAAAAAAGTTTGAAGTTTTATTAAAATTTTAGTTGCATAAAAAGAAAAATCTAAAAGTTTCTGAGATGGTTTTTGTTCTTGATTGCGTAAGAATTTCAATCAAAAATAACTTAGTTTTATATTTTGCTGACATCCTTTATGATATATTTGAAATTTGACTTCCTTATTTATGAAAACTTTGTTAACCTTATATCATCGATAGGCAAAAGAAAGTTCACAAAAACATGAACTCATTTGTATTTAAGTATTTTGCAGTTTTTTTAATCTGCTTGTGAGCATTCCGTCAATGGTCAGATAGATTAGATCTGACCACATTCAAGGCTAAATAAAAATATCTACGAAAATGGCCTTTTGCACTCAATTGATCTTTATATAGCTTTTACGGACAACTCTTTGTAGACTTTTCATCGATTGAACTTTTAGTCTAGTGCTATTGACCGAAGTCTTGTAAAAGCATCTACCGATATTTCACTTTATCTTTTGTTTTCCGAGCTTTTATAACATTCACAGAGAATCGAGGAAGAAAAAAGGTAGAAGAAAATATGAAAAGCAAGAATTAGATACAATTATTAATGCAGTTTATATGTTCGAAATTTTACAAGTCAATTGATTAACTGAAGGTAAAGAGCATACGAGGGAAGATTTCTTTTGGAGAAGATATTGCATAAAGAATTTTCTGATATATCTTTGATATTTAGAAGTTAAATAAATATTATTAAGTAAAAAGAAATGTAATTCTTAAAATCTATAATGTTGCATAGCCGTCCACTTTCTTTTATTTCAATCAATTGTTTATGTAACTGTAATGGAAATATAGTGGTGCTTATTTTCTGTGTCATTTTCGTTAACGTAAAAAACTAGGTTTATCTTGGAACAAGGCCACATTATAGAGCACTTAGTGATGACCCAAATCACAGAAGAACCAGGCCATACCACACAGGTCTTTTACCTGATGACCTGCATCACACGTCTGCTTGGTGATGACCTTCTTCGACATCCTGAACTCGTGGTTAATTATTTCTCTTAGTCATAGATCATCCGTCTCACCAGAAGTCATCAGCACATTCCTAACCTTGAACACAAAAACCTGGACAATTCCAAGAAGCTAGATGTCTTTGAATCGATGTGGTTCGCAGACAGTATCAGATTGTCATGTTAATGCTCTGAATATGTCTGGAAGAAAAATGAGAATGTCAAAAATTGGCGCATACTGCGTAACAGTGCATCCTGCACTGTTAGGTAGAACATACAGATACTGCACTGATCTTTGACAATGGAATGAGAAGCTACAAATTGATTCTAGGCAGAAATCACAGACGCTATGTTCTTAAGTAAACCTGTTGATCCATAAGTAAACAATAACTCTATTTTGATGGGTATTATGCATTTAAATAATGGATATGCCTGTGGCGTAACGTTTATCGGTGCACAATATGTAATCATCAGACAAAATCCAAATTCCGTTTGTGGCTGTGTTCACTTTGTTCCAATGCTTTCGAGAAAGGTATGCATTCATCTTTTCTTCCCTCAGCTATGGATTAAATAATAGGGTGGACTGGTCTATTTAGGCTTGATAGAGCAACCATTCTAGAAGGACAACCCTGAATTCAAAACTACGAAGCAGCCTATCAGAAACTACCCCATTACCTTTCCCCGGACCTGTGATAGTAATTCATAAAAAAACATTTAAAAAAGGAAGTTATGGAGAGCCATTATCGCCTATGTCCTGAAGGCGATAGAAAATAAATAATGCATCTATAAAACAAAATATATCTTTGCAATTTTTAAAATACAACTTTCTAAATATATTTGGAAAATGGCAAATATCGTCTGACTCATGAATATAGAGTAAAATTAATTAAAGAGTGCCTGAATTCGACCGTCTGTTATGTCACTATAAAATGATGAATTATAAAGAAACTTTATATATATTACTCATTAAGATGTCATCAGGTCAGTCAGAATTTGATGTGATCATTTTGATTTCAAACAAATTTTGGTTAATACCTATTTGTGATATCAAAAACCAAGTTAAAAAAATACAAAAACAAAGAAAGCAAACATTTCTATTGGTTCCAAGTTTTGTTTATGCGGATTCTTGTTGAAGAAAGGTGAAGAAGTTCTACATATATATATATATATATATATATATATATATATATATATATATATATATATATATATATCAATTTTCAAATTGACAGAAAGTCTGAAGGATTTTAACCAATCAAACTTTGAAAAACTTTTAATTTCTTTCATTTATGAAAAATCAAGAAAGGTTTTTTGTTTGTTTTTTCGTTTTCGTAATGGAAAAATGTTTATGGTAATGATCAAATATTGATCGGCCTGCCGAGTCTTAGCAACTTCATTGCTCTTTTGTATCGATCAGTCTGTACGATCCCATTTAATCATGTTCAGGGGAATAGTGAATAGAAAGAAAGTAAATATATATATGTGGGCTGGGGTCCCTGGGTGCGAGTAGTGTAACGGTTATTAGCGCAGAAATGGATTCAGCGAAAGTAGTTCACATTCCAGCCGAGTCGGTTGCGTTCTCTTCGCTCTGTTGCCCAATGGGAAAGCAGTGGCTCCGTATCTTCTCGTATCTTAAAT